GGTACTGACTCGAAGGCACCTACAACAACAAACCAGTTCAGTCCAATTAAAAGCTTGTCCTGTGTTTAAAGCAAATGTAGAAGGTGAATTGGCTGTGGAAGTGGGACTCCAAGTTGAGTTCAGTTTGGGTTAGCACCCAAGGGCAACTTCAGACCCCATCCATAACAGATCCCACATCACCTACAGGTCTTTGGCTCCATTCAGGTTCTTTCATACTGTATATGATTAAGCTATTTGATTACTCACTTAGCTTTTGTTGTGTTCTATGTCCTGTGCTGCTGTTGTTGTTATGTGCCTTACAGTCGGTTCTGACTCAAAGCGACCCTGTACAGGGTTTCCGAGGGTGTAAATCTTTACGGGAGTTTAAAGTGGCATCTTTCTCCCGCGGAACAACTGGTAGTTTCGAACTGCTGACCTTGTGGTTCGCAGCCCGATTCGTAACCACTACGCTACCACGTCCTGTGCTAAGCTCTGGGAATGAAAGAAAGATGAGATCCCAGGCTTCGAGAAGTTTGTATTCTAATGAAACAGGTCTATATATAAACAAATAATCATACTGTAGTTTTTTAATGTGTTACAGTAGAGATGTGTATAAAGTTCTGGAGACAGAGAACTACCTGCCTGAAGGAACAAAGAAAGATTTCATAGAAGTGATGGAAAACAGAAGGATGAGCTTTCATTAAGTACAATTTGTTCTTGTTGTTCAGTGCCGCTGAGTTGGTTCCAACTCATAGCGACCCTGTATAGGGTCTCTGAGGAACGGCTGGTGGGTTTGAACCACTGACCTTAAGGTTAGCAGTCCAACGCTTATCCTACAGTGCCACATCAGGACTCAGGCTAAGCAGAATAGTAGAATTTATTTAGGTGGGTTTTGAGGTGAGAGCTTTGAATGTATGTATTTGGAATCACCAATTAACACTAGAGTTTCTTATTGGGGGCCAATCACCCCAAGGATGCGCTGCCATGTGGTATCAATGGCTTAGCAGTGGTTACATTTAATTGTGATTTTTTCATTTCAGGGCTGAGACTGAAGTTTCTATGAACAAGAAGAACCACCCATAACCACTATTATTGAAAACTGAATGGTTTTAGAAATTAGTTTTTGCTTCAGATTTGCTAACCTGAAATTTAACCTAAAATTACGAGGCAAAGCAGTGCTTACGTATAAATAAGGGAGCTTCAAAAAGATCAGGAAAAAAACTCCAGGTATCTTTTAATTCCAATTTCCACAAACTTTTTTAAGCTCCCTCAAATAAAACTTTTACTGCAGTAAAGTCATGATGAAAACAACTAACGTGGTTTCATCGTAAATAAAGTGAAGTTGCTTTACACACAGACTACGCTCTCAAAAGTTAAAACAAGAGGCAAGACCTCCATTCCCTTTCAGAGCTTCAGCAGATAGATTTTCTGAATTCTAACTACAGTTTCAGCAGCGTTTTATGGGCCTCACTGCGAGCTCAAAGGGGACGGCTATTTCAAAACCCATTTAACTCTACAACAGTTGAGGAGCTTCCATTCAACCTTCAACTGGACTGGGCGTGATTCTTATGCAATGAAATGACATATGAAAAGGCAAATATCAAGAGGAGACTCAAAGTTCTTTCAGAAAGGAATATGTTCAGTTAAAACTAGGCTTAATATGCCTACAATGGTATCGGTGGTTGACAGTACCTATCTGTGTAGGGATCAGCAGCGGACTGACAACTACATGGCTGGCAGTTCAAACCCGTCAGCCACTCCGTGGGAGAAAGACGAGGCGTTCTGCTCTTGTAAAGATTGACACCGTGGAAGTCCTATACTGGGTGGCTATGACTCGGATGTGATTTGATAGCAATAAATATATATTTTTTGTAGCTGTGTGGTTAAGTAATTGGCTGCTAACAGAAAGATTGGTGGTTCGAACCCACTAGGCACTCTGTGGGAGAAAGATGTGGCAGTCTGCTTTCATAAGGATTACAGCCTAGAAAACCCTGTGGGTTGTTAGCTCTACTCTGTCCTAGAGGGTCGCTATGAGCCGAAATTGACTCAGAGATACTGGGTTTGGTTTTTCATGTCTGTGAAAGACATTTTCAAAGATGAAACACACAAAAATTTCATTATAGACTAGGATATTTATAGTCAATTTTGATGTCAGGAAACACTAACTTTGAACCTCAATTACGCAAAACAGTTATCCCTTCCAACCCCCCTCCCAATTATTATCATTAATAAACCTATAATACAGTAAACTGGGCTCCTGGTGTGGCACTGTAGGATCAGCACTGGACTGCAAACCACAAGGCTGGCAGTACAAACCCTATACAGGATCGCTATGGGTCAGAATTCACTTAAGGACAATAGCAATCATAGCACATTATACTTTTATTTTTAATTTCATCAATAGAAATTGGTGGAGATGGATTTCTCTTTTGTTGCATACATATCTACATAATATTCTTGATTTTGCCTCTTGGCTTGAAAATTTTACTATCTGGGTCCTTTAAAGGAAAAATGTGCCAAGCTTGATATTTTCTCACTGGTTGTTCCTTTAAATGGAGATTTAACAATAAAAACAAACTGTAAACTGTTTCGTGGATGATCTGATGCTCTACTGGGTTCTCTCACCTTTGGTATAAAGTTACTGCACCCCAATTCTGTTCACCATGTCTCATCCACAGCTGGGGCTGTGCTACATCTCTAACTGCCAGTAAGAGAACGTGAAAGTAAGCAGACGATGCCTACACTGAACATATCATTGGCAAAACTGGGTATTTCCCCCTAAGATTGTTAAATTGGCAAGGGACCAAGAGAATTGGTTTTGAAAACCATGGGGCTTAAAAAGTAGAAGTGTAGTCCTGATGAGACACTCTGGGAGAAAGCACTGGATTGCAAGATCGGTCTGAACCTTGTTGTTAAGTGCCAACTCGTAGGGACCCTGTGTAGGGTTTCCGAAGACTGGCTGGTGAGTTTGAACTGCCGACCTTATGTTTCAAACTGACCTTTCGGTGGAGTGCTTATCCTACAGCAAAGAGTAAGAGAAAATTCTTTTTCTGAGCTCTGGTATAATTTTCTTTGTAGCAATGTTTCTTTGCAGCTTGAATGAGCAGTAACAACAGATCTATTTACTCCTTCAATGAATTCCTACAAGGGGCACTTAGAAACAACTCATCTAAATATGCCAGGCATTGTCCCAGGTGCTAGGGATAATGCAAGGAACAAAAGGATCAAAATTCTTGCTTTTCTGAAGCTCACATTTTAGTGAGCTGATAATTATTGCAATGCATCTCTGTAATGGTCCTTAGAAATGGTCCCAGGTGGGAGTAAATAACCTTAAGCATCCCAAAGCTCAATGTATCATTCTAAGAGGGAAGATGATTGGTGTATCTGCAAGCTAAGTTTGTACAGTTGGTGCTGGCAAGATGACAGAGTCCCTGACTGACGACGTCAACAAAATATAAAGTTTGAGGCGAGATCATCAACAGTAAGTGGCTGGGTGGGATGTGGGTGTGTGAGGGGATGGGAATCAAACAGTTGTCTCAGGGACCAGGAGAGCAACTTAGAGAAACAAAGTTCCAACTGCCCAGCCAGAGTGCCCACCTGAGGTTGGTTATTATGAGTTTATAATAATACCAACCTGCCCTGATGCTGTATGATTTCCTCTAGCAATGCTCAGAGTTCATCCAGGGGTGAGAGTTTACTAGTAGTCTAGGAAGGAAGGAAAGAGGGTCAAAGAAGCTGAGGTTATTTGTAAGAGTGAGGATATTGTGATAACAATGGCATCCAAGCTGGATCAGGAGGGTAGTAAATACAGGAGGGCACGAAACGATAGAGAAAGTGGTAGAGTTCGGTAGGCTGGAGGGAGACAGAACAAGTTTGAGCTTCTAGGGAGGAAACACACAACGAGCAAAGGCTGGTTGAAGAGGAAAGAGGGTGGCAGCCCAATAAAATGCTAAAATCTTGACCCAAAGGTGTATGGAGGAACTTAAGCTTGCTGTTATTACAGTTGTTTCAGAAATCAAAGCAGTTCTAGTATAAAATGATACACAATTAAAAATGCATTAAAGAAAGCTCTATTTAAACAATAACAAAAAAACACAAACAAACTTTGGTGAGCATTAACTCTTTTAAAGGAAGAAAAAAAATGTACAATGCGTGTAGATGCTGGTTTGATTTATCTCTAAGTTTGGAAAGCTACATATACACTTCTCTTAAAATTTAGGGTCATTTGGCAGTGGGGTTAAAAACCTGTGAGCTATGTTGTTGTCAATGCTCCATCAAGTGGCTCACACACATCTGAAGGGTTTCAGGTAGTGTGGTTGATGCCACTCATCTCTGTAGCACTGTCAGATTATGTAGCAGGGAACTGGCCTTCACGATCTCTCAAGGTGTACCCCATCCCTTTAAACTTCGGGCTATTTAGGTTTGGGAGTTCTCACTTGCAAAAGACCACATTCACAGTTCACTGAACTTCCTAGTAGGTGCAAACTGAAAAGGGCAGTGCTTGAAATTCACTAGTGGACACTGGAGAGGTTTCTGCAGACATCATCTTGGTCTTGAGAACCTTATCAGTACACCAAGATTCAGGCAGAGCGCTGCAGTCTCCTGACACCCATAACAGACAAACTCCTTTTATAATGTGACCACTTGTGGTGGGGAAAACCCAGTGAAGTGTCTTAGAGTACAAAGGAGGCATTGAAGCATTTGCAACAGTGGCAGGGCCTTTGACTCTGCAGTGGGCATAAGGTTAAAGCCGGGAAAGAATAGTGAAGACAGGACAGGCTGTCCTATTACAGGCTGCAGATTACAAATCAGTCACGCCCACTGCTGACTTATAAAGCCATCTTCTTCTCAAACTCCACCTTTCCTTTCCAAACACTTAGCAAATTCAAAACAAAAACAAACAAACAACAAAAATCAACTTTATCTGGCTAGAAGTTTGGGTCTTTGCCTTTGTACTAAGTTTGTTTTCAGGAATGAGAACTTTTGCTGAAAGCAGGCTCTCTGAAGGAGAAGCGACTTACCACTGAGTTGCTGGGCGGTAGCCAGGCGGCTGGGCTTCAAGATGAACTGGCACTGCATCTCCCGGGGCAGCTGTTCCATGAGGAAGGACTCTTGGAGGCTGGACGGGGTGCTGGAGTCCTTTGATCCCTGTGTCAGGAGCACCGTGTCTCGAAGATGACTCATTTTAATTCCATAGGGGTATTCGTGCCCTACACAGAGAAAAACCTAAATGGAGATATCAGGCTGACTAGTGTGATGAAACCTAGCTCACTGTGCGCTGTACAGACTGGAATGCACTGCAGTCTGTGCCTGGGAGTTTTGATATGCGGAATCCTTGTGCTGACTGACTGATCACTACGTGCATGCTTACAGGTGGAGACCACTGCATCCTGCAGGTGGCTGTCTCCACCAGAGTCGTTTCAAGGGGAAAAGAAAAATAAAGAGGAAAGACAATCTTTAAAAAAGATCTTGTTTGGAATGTACAGATCGGTATTTGACTTGCATAATGTTGATGTTTCTCTCTAATGATATTTAAAGATATTCTTCTAGTCTCTCCTTTAACTACACTGGCACATCTTCAGCAAATCTTTGAATGCTCTCGGCCTCTAAATCACGTTTTAAAATATCTGCCCTACCTATTGATCACACAAGGAGTCCTGGTGTGGCACTGTGGATTAATATGCCAGACTGCAAAACCGTTTGAATTGCAAGGTCGGCGGTTCAAGCTCATTAGCTGCTCCTCGGAAACCCTATACAGGGTCGCAACCGACTCGACGGCACTTAACAACAACAACAACATTGATCACACAGCGTTATAAGGCTCACATAAATAAACACTGGTGGTTAATTTTATTTAAATAATAGGGACAAAGACCAGTAGATGCCAAACTTCTTTGTTTTCACCATTATCTACCACAAGGCGCCTATCTGAAAAGGTTATTTCATGATTTTTTTTTAATAAATTATATAATTACAGTTACTCAAGAGCATTAGGCTTGGTTTGTTTCATTTTGTGCTTCCCTCCCACTGCTGCCTCTGAGGCTGCGGTTCAGACCCAATAATCAGAAGGAAGATGGTATGGTATCAGAACACAGACACTAGATGCAAAAGGTGTTTATCAGCTGGAAAAATGAAATCCTGGATGCTGGGACTGACTGTAACATGCTTTTTCGCTCTTCTGTGTTCCAAGCAGTTGAGTCTTCCATAAAGGATCCTCAAAGAATGTATTGTGGTACACATTCAAGTTTTTTAGGTACACAGAATAAACTCCCTTTCTTCTATTCCTAATTTATCACTGCGTGTAACTCAGTGAGCTCTTACTTTCCCTTTTTATCTGGCATAGGCATACAATTTTAATGTTGCAGTAATAGCGTAGTGGTTACAAGTTGGGCTGCTAACCTCAAGGTCAGCATTTGGAAACTACTAGATGTTCCATGGGAGAAAGATGAGGCTTTCTGTTCCCGTAAAGATTTACAGCCTCGTAAACCCTGTACAGGGTCGCTATGAGTCGGAACTGACTCCAAGGCACATAATCACCACCACAGTGGCTTCCAGGTATGGACCTTAAAAAAAAAAAAAAAAGTCTTCTAGTCTTCTATAGGGGCTCTGGTGGCTCAGTGAGTTACACACAATGGGCTGTTAACAGCAGGGTTGGTGGTTAGAACCCACCAGTCACTCTGAGGGAGAAAGATGAGATTTTCTACTTCCATAGAAATTTATAGCCTTGGAAACCCTATACAGGGATGTTATGAATGTCTCAATGGTACACCACAACAACAGTCTTTTATGAGAGCAATAAAATAAAATAAACAAATTATCAAACCCACTAGCTGCTCCTTAGAAACCGTATACAGGATCACTATGAGTCAGAACCGACTCAACAGCACTAAACAACAACAGTGTGTAGATGGTAACTTTTGCCCTTGCTGTTGTTGTTGTTAAGTGTTGTTGAGTCGGTTCCAACCCTTAACGACCCTGTAGATGGTAGGGTTTTGCAAGGAGTGACCGGTGACTTTGAACTGCTGACCTTGCAGTTCAAACCAACTTTGTAGTCCAGCACATTAACCCACAATGCCACACCAGAACTCCACTTTTGTGCTTGAAAAGCTTTAATGAGACCCTAATGCTAGTTCTCCCTACCTAACCACGGGATCACAGGATTGTAATTCAGCAGCAATTCTTCATTGTACATTTTAATGTGCCTTGTAGTTTTCAATCGTAGATTGTTGTTGCAGAGGTGTGGTCAACAGCCTGGTGCTATCCTACAGCGCCACACCGGGACTCTACCATCTACGTAGTTGTGATTAAATTAGTATATTTGATTAGACCCATTGTTTTAAAGCATTTCATGTCTACTCACAATTTTCATTATGATCACTGACTTTTCGAGAAAATGACATTTAAGAAACAAACAGACGTGAAACGGTGAATTTTGTCCTCAGCGATATACTCGCAGGCTTGCTACATCTAAGGCTGAGGATGTGCATTTACAAAGGTTTGGTGTTTTGGATTGCTCAGGTCACTTGAAACATACTGAACTACCTACTAATAGTGACCTTACAGGAGTCCTGGTGTGGTGCTGTAGGATCAGCATTGGACTGCCAACCACAAGGTCGGCGGTTCAAGCCTACCAGCTGCTCCTCGGAAACCCTGCACTGGGTCACTATGAGTCAGAACCGACTCGATAGCACGTAACAACAACAGTAATGACCCTTCCGATAACTGAAAGGATTATGTGAGAAAATGCATGTGACATGCTCTATCTAGGTCATGCCTGGCATACAGTAAACACTATAAAATTGTTTAAAGAAAACACCACCACCACCATCGTCATCATCTCCAGATCTGTTATAGGTACTGTCACTGCTTTTAACTGCTCAATTTCTGTTAACCACAGGGAATGAATTTACTAATCAAGAAACATTTTTCTGCCTACTGACTCTAGAAACTACTTCAGGTGAGTTGTAACCTATTCACCAGTAACTTCCTCAAGAACATATGCTGGAAATGAAGGCTAGAGAAAAAGCTAACTAGTTAGTAAAGCAGTAGTTAGTTGGCAAGCTAGTCAATGAATACTTCTAGGAATCAAAATTGGTCTTTATTTCATTTTCTTTATGCTGTCTAGGAAAGTTCTGGACACGAACTGATTAGCAGGTGCTAAATCAGTACTCACTGACAGATTAAAAGGCATGACTAGATTATAGGTAACCTCTCAGATACAACTAGAAGGTAGGAAAGGAAACAAAATTTAAGAAGATAATACGAGAAAATAACTGTACAGGGAAAAGGAATACTACATTGCTTTCCTATAGAATTGTTTGTTTTTTGTTTAAATTTGGCAAGATAGCTCTGTTTGTAAAGTAAAAAGCAGAGAGTAAATTTGTAGCTCTCTTCCCAACTATACCTTTAGTTCTTTGAGAGGAGAGGTATTATTGGTCTTGCACATAAATGCTTGATTGTTGTTGTTGTTGTTAAGTACCGTGGAGTCGGTTCCAACTCATAGCGACCCTGTACAGGGTTTCCGAGGCTGTGAATCTTTACGGGAGCAGAAAGCCTCATCTTTCTCCCGTGGAACAGCTGGTAGTTTCAAGCTGCCGACCTTGTGGTTAGCAGCCCAATTTGTAACCACTACGCTACCAGAGCTTCTTAAAGATGATATTAAATGACTATTTTATGAGATTTAATTTTTAGTAGTGTTTAATCTTGTTGTTGTTAAGCTTAGGACTGACTATATGACCAATTCTCTAAAGATGAGGATTAAAATATAAGCAATCCTATCTTAAATTACCCCAGAAACTCACCAATAAGTGGGTAGGGTGCCTCTTCTTTGCCAGAATTGACCCATAATTGGTAATCTCTCTCAGATCCCTTAGAGATAAAGAATTAAAAGTTACCATAAATCTCACATTCACTACTTGAATGAAGGAACATTTTGGGGGGCATTTCTATGCTTTGCACAAATGGGGACCATATAAACGCTATTCAGGTTCCTGGGGATGGTTACGGTTTTTGAAGATGGCAGTGCTGATTCTTACAACCTTCTCTACCCAGCAGAGTAATAGGAATCCTGCCTCTTCCCCCCTTGCTGTTGTTAGGTGCCATCGAGTCAGTTTCGACTCATAGCAACCCTGTAAGGGTTTCCAAGGCTGTGCATCTTTGTGGGAACAGATAAGCCTCCTCTTTCTCTTGCTTTCCCCCTGCTAGTGATATCACGGTTACTCTAGAGGATAAGCACTGAACTGCGAGCCACAAGGTCAGTGATTTGAGCCCACCAGCCACTCCATGGAAGAAAGATGAGGCTTTCTGCTCCAGACTTTTCAGCGAATGTTGGCTGTAATCTCCAACACGCCCCTGCAAAGACAACCTTGTTTTCCAGAAAGCTACAAGCACTGCTATGTCTATGACTGAGGAGAGCAAAAGGCTAATTATCCGTTCAGATGTTTTTGAGTAGAAGGCAAAGAATGACCAAGAGGCTTTGAGGCGATAGGAAGAGAAGATATGCAGCTGGCACAGGTTACACTGAACATAATTATGGGCAAGTCCAGTCCTGGAGACAGAGAAAACAAGAATTCTGTCTAGAGAACAGATCCAGTCATGGAAAACAATGAAATTGTTCACCAGGAGAAATATGACCAAGCATCACCAGGCAGCTCACTTGAAACAAATACAGGCAGTCCCCTGATTAAGAAGGAGTTCTGTTTCTAAGTTGGCCTGCAAGTTAAATATGTACATAAATTGGAATACTTAGGTATGGTCCTTACTTAATGTCAGTTAGTCAAATGCTTTTCTTTATATATAGTGTACTTTTTTGGGTATAAAGAAACATGAAAGAAACACTTCTAGATACACTTAAACATCTTTAACATTAACACATAGCAATAATAATAATGCTAACAGAAATGTTTTGATGCATGTTGTAAAGTAGTGCCTGTTATGTAGGCAGCAAGAACTCCATGACCTCCAGAGTAGCTGGGGGTGGACCGTGCTGCGCCTCACATCCTCCTCTGGTGGAGGCCACTGGGATCTCCTGGACTCTCTCTCCAACCTACTGTACCTTGGGCTACATGACATGGGGCCAGGGACACGGCCAAGGTAAGGCAGGGCTGTGTTGGGGAGCAGCGGGGCTGCATGGTGCCTGACTGCAGACAATATGGAAGCAGCACCCAGCTGGGTGCGGAGGAGTCAAGCTGGGTCTGTGTCTGCAGCTCTAGGTCTCCAGCCCCAGACAAAACCCACACCAGCCCTAGGGACTGCCAGGGGAGTCCGGGGTAAGGCAGGGTACCACTTAGCCACTTCCCATAAATAGTCCTTGGATTTGTGGTCAAGGAAAGATCTACGGGAGTTGGCTCATAACTGAGGTTGTGTATCAGTCAGATGTTTGTAATCTGTAATATTATTAAATTATACAGACTTCACTGAGTTATTTTAAAGAGTCCTCTAGGAAAGGATAAAGCAAAAATATGTCTTGAATGAACCTAAAAGAGACAGAACCAACTGTTGGAATATGTCATATACTTGCCTTTAGCTTCTGGCTAGACACCATATAATGGAGGGTCCCAGGTTATCTAGAGTATCACACATGGACACTCAGTTTGTTACTTCCTTCCCACCCCATCTCTTGCCAAGAAATTTATTGTAAATAGGAAAAGCCATATAAGAAAAAATTCTTTCTTTTATGTAGTGTCTGAAAGCACTGCAGACGCAGCAGCAAATTGCCTCAGTTCCTAATTAAATTGAAGAGAAATTACTTTTGGTCTGAGGAGACAGATCGCTGATCACTTTATTAAAAGAAAAAGCACAAATGTATCATATCACTAATTAATCTCCCTTTCCACCTGGAAACTACTCACTGTCTTCTAAGATATAATAATATGGAAATCAATACAGAGGTACCTACTTTATTCAGGGCACATACTCTAAACTATATTTTAAGTATATTATTCCACTTCGCTAATAAAGAAATCGGATTTTTTATGCCAAGACTAGGTTACCCAGAGTTCTTAAGGGCTTCCTACATCAGTATGCAAAAGCAAAATCTAAATACATTTAATTATACTATATGTTTTATATATGAGGGGGCTTCAAAATGGTTGTGGGAAAAAAATCTAGCATCCTTTTCATTCAATTTTTCCACTAATTTTTTGAAGTCCCCTCCTACATGTCAGGTTCCCCCAGCGTAACAGTACTTTTCATATTTATTGAAACTTTCAATGAAGGAATAGTGCTTCCCTGAGTCTCCATCCTTCTGAAAGTTATTCCCTTTAATAAAAGTACTCAGGGTGTGGTACTGTATGCAGATGATGGAGTCCTGGTGTGGCGTTGTAGGATAAGCACTGGTGTTCTAACCATAAGGTCTGCAGTTCTAACCCATCAGTCAGCCGCTCCTTGGAAACCATATACAGGGTGGCTGTGACTCAGAACTGACTCAATGGCATTTAACAACAGCAACAAAGAGGAGATACAGAAACCTTTCATTTCTCTTTCGCCTACCTCATCCTCAAACATTCCTATCTTTTCACGAATCAGATTTCAAAAATTCATTTTTTTGCCTATAAAGCATAAAGGATCATAGATATTATCAAATATCTTAAGGCAATTAGTAGTTGAGCCTGGGGGCTCAGGACCATAGTCTCTAGCCTCAGGGACACCATGGTCAACTGGCACAATGTAGTCCACAAAGACAATGTTGTACATCCTGCTTTGGCGAGTGTAACATCTGTGACATTAAAAGCTCATGAGCAGCCATCTAAAGTGCAGCTATCGGTCTCTCCTTGTGTGGAAGAAAGAAGAGTGATGAGAATTGAAGATGCTTGGAATCCACTAGTCCAAAGGACTAATGGATCATGGGAATGTCAGTCTCCACGACCTGAAACCAGAAGAACTATATGGTACCCAACTACCACTAACAACTGCTCTGAACAGGATCAACTGGAAGGTCCTGGATAGAGTGGTATGATGTATGGAACAAAACTCAAAATTATTATTAAAAAAAAAAAAAAAAAAAAAAGACCGGGCTTATAGGTCAGAAAGACACTGGAGGAACCTGAGCTTCTGTCCCTTGACCACCCTTCAGGTCTGGAAAGGACCACACCCTCTTTCAGCCATGCAGTAGATAGGTAAATAAGGGGCCTAACTCTTCGCCAAGCAGTAGGTAGGCATATGGGGTACAGCAATACTAGTAAGGTATGTGAATGTTGGAAGGTCAATCATTCAAAATTCAATGGGGCAACATGTGAGATGGGATGGGAAGGTGGGTGGAAAGGAAAATAGAGCCACAGGGAGGAAGCTGATGACTGTTGTTTCCTGGAAGGGATTGCAATTGAGGTGAAAAACATGTATTATTTGTTGAACGTAAAACTGATGATCTTGACTATGAACTTTCACTCAATTCACAATAGAAGGTAAAAACAACAACAACATAAGGATCAGACCCTAGAAGCAAAATAGGGATGAATGTGGTGGGTACACCAAAGGGCTTCAAATTCCTGATCCAATTGGAGGGGTCTCTTTCTGTTTCCACTTTGTTACAGGTACCAGCCAGCTTGTCCTCAGAACCTGCAGCCAGAATCCGTACAGTCTCGTCTTCAGGAAAAAAAAAAAAAAATCCTTCAGAATCCATCAACCTGAGACTGGCTGAGTTTTGGGATAATAACGGAATAATTAGGTAAAGGAAGGGTGGGGAGGGGAGGGGAGTAAAGATAAAGATAGTCAAATAGTGATGAGTGCAAAGAGGAAAGAAGGCTGAAACTTTCTTATTAAGGACCTTATGCCAAAAAATAAAAAAAAGACTGTGCATATACCTATACCTTTACCTATAGATATGACATATACAATGAATATACAAATTACTATTATCTTGCCATTATAGTTTCATCTCGTTATACTTTTCAGTTCATACAGGTTTTTAAATGGGAGTCAGACACCAGAACCCAGATATTTGGCTAATAGTAAGACTTTGCTGTCCTTATTTCTATAGTCTGGGGGACAAACATGACTGAGATCTCTAAGAATCAGCTGTCTTATGACGGCAGATATGATATTTACACGAATCTAAAGTATCAAAGTTTACTGCTAATAATGAAGACCATGTAGCACTGGTAGTCACTTACAGTTATCCCTAGCATTGGCAATGACATGTGGATAACTTCATTCGCAGTGTCTGAATTCATGACTGTTATCGTTTTAGACTGCAGAAAAGAAAGACAGAAGACATACAGCTATAAGTAAAGAATTTTTAAAACCTGTGAAGAAATAATTACTGCCAAAAGACTATCTGAAGGCAAAATCTTGATTTTAAGTATTGATTAATGTAGAACAAAACCCTTGATTATAATTTACTCTCATTGTCTCATATGCCTTTCATTAAAACATCTATTTCTCTTAAAACAACATATAAATACAAAATATAAAAGCTTAAGCAAGCAAGAAATGTATTTCAGAGCGTGTATATGTCCCACTTCCCCTCAAAACATCAGTGAGCTGGCTCTCTGTATCATTTCTGTAACTATATCTCCATACGTAGTGAATTAATAAAAGGAGGGAGACAGTTGAATTCCTTCCTATTTCTTTCCAAATACTGTTTTTAGAGTAGGAGGCTTTATTTTTTTTTGCAATGTCTTTAAAAAGTTCAGGCAAAATGAGAATAAGAGCTGGTTAAAAAAGGCATTTAAAGCTTAGAATAAAACCACTATTACAAAGGATTTTCTAGGGGCCAGGCATTGTGGCTTCTAATATTTTCATCACCGAAATCTTTGGAAGTATTAAGTAAAACCAGTGAGTCTAGGAAGCAAGATTGAAAATTTTAGGAAGTTTAATTTTATTCCCAATTCTGCCAACTGAATACCTACAAATAGCTCTGTGCTAAAATGCACGGAGTAATTGCTACCTAAAAATAGAAAGGCAATTTTGCAATAAATTAGAAAAGGGGTTAACAAGATTCTGAGATATCCACAGAGCTCATTAAATTCCCAGAGAGATTATGAAAATATAAGATAAAGCTATGGCATTAAAAAAGAATTTATTTACTATGTATAGAAGTTTTAACATATAATACTATCAGATAAATCAGTAATTAGGGCTCTGTCCCTTAGTGACAATTAGGGCTTGGTGTTGTTTTGTGCCTTGATTCCAACTCTATAGGACAGACTAGAACAGTAACCCTATAGGACAGAGGAGAACGGTCCTATCGGGTTTCCAAGGCTGTAATCCTTATGGGAGCATACTGTCACATCTTTCTGCCACAGAGCAGCTTGTGGTTTCGACCTGCTGACGTTTCCATTAGCTTCCATGCACTTAGCCACTGCATCACCAGAACTCCCTAGACATAAGGACTCAAATGGCAGAAAAGTGAAAACCTCTGATAATTTATTGCTCCATCGTATTATTTTTTCCTATGAACCAAATACTTGACTGGACAAAGCGCCGTAGAAGCGCACACGGTTAAGTGCTTGACAGCTCACTGAACGGTTGCTTGTTACATTTTTTAAATAAGCATTTTGAATGTATTGATTTCAAACTGTTCAGAATGTTGGCTACTAAGGACAGACTTCTTAACTTGATCAAATTTCTTGTCTTCTCTTCCAAAATGAGAGTGGGACACCAGTCCTTTCTTGAGCACATTTTCTATACACTGAAAATAGCAGCGCTAAAAAAAGACTGAAGAGACTTTCCATGCAAATCCTGAATGGAACCAACTGCCATAACAACTGAATCAAAGCAGGCAGAAACACAGTGTTTTGTTTGCTTGCCACAGGAGATATCCGTAGTCTCATAGCATAAAAATTTGTGTATTTCCCTCTCACAAGGACATCTGGCACTCAGAAGCAGGTCAGATCATTTGCATAGCTTTTGCTTTTGGCCCAAACATAACTGTTTTGCACTACATAGTTTTCTACACACAGATACAACTGTTCTGCGTGATGTAGGTCTGCTGTGAAGTATGACAATCCAAAGAGTCATCAAGAGTATTCCTACGTTTCCACCTTGTTTACTGTTGATAACATCTTGGCTCGTACACCACAATTTCAGTCATCAAATTACTCATAATAAATAAATAGGGCTAAAGACTTAATTTTTGTCTGACCAATATGATAAACACTGTTCTCTCTCCTAGCTCAGCTCATCTATTTTATTAACCTGAGGGTTTTAAATCCTAAAAATTCAAAGAATGGAGAACTTTTCAAAATCACTCTTTACTTAAGAAGTGACATGTCGGGGAGAAAAAAAAAACAATTATTTAATACCAATAGGAAATGCCTCCTTGTGAAAATAGCTTCACTACAAGCCTGTGCAGCTGCTACTGAAACAATCAAGAGGAACACTAATGCCAGAGGAAGAAAAGTGACATTTGGTAAGCAATATTCTTCCCAAGCTTCAATGGTAAATGGTGCTGTTAATACAAATATCTTATGCTTCGTTTTCTCTAGAGTTTACTTTTCATATGTACCCAGGAAAATGCATTTGCTCACAATGATATTCCCACATACACTGTCTGCCTGCATGTTTGCCTGCCAGTCCTTTTATCCAGAGTGTTCTGCCTTGGAATTTAATTTTCTGGCTTAGAAACACTTACATAGGCACAATTCCCAATGTCCTTGGCGAAGATTTTGAGGGGAATGCTCTTCGGGTAGTCCTTCTCTTTTTCTAGATTGATGTATCTAATCAAATGCAACAACAACCCAAAACAACACTGAGTCAGATGAATTGGGCTAATGGCTTATTTGTAAACCAATCTAATTAGCTAATATTCTCAATATACTTTTATGCTATGGAAAAATTAATAAATAAAAAAACAGCAAAGCAAAACCAGAAAGACTCAGCAAAGTTCAGATTACATTATGGGTTGGAAGATCATTTTTACTTTTAAATCTCAGAACATTAAGGCAGGGACACACAGAAAAAAGAATGGAATAATCATGTTAATTGAGGCTTGAGAAGCACAATTAAGTTAAAGCAACTCAACTCAGGGAATTTTATTCTCAAAGTTTCCCTGCCTTCTCTGGACAGGTGCAGCACTTGCTGATAAGTACATGTAATACTTTGCTAGACAAAAACAAAGCAATGATATTTTCATCTCTTTTAGTTCTCCAGTGGAATGTAAATCTTTGTCACCCCATTACTTGAGGAGGGGGAAGAAGAGAGGGGGAAGGAGGAAAGAATTATGGAGCTAACAGAGAAACGAAATTGACCATATGAGTCTGTATGTTCACAAGTACAGGCAACGATTGATATGCTACGTACTTCGCAGAGAACGCTGGACTGCAAAGTCGTTTGAACCACTGAGTCGGTGGTTCAAACTTATCAGCCGCTCCTCGGAAACCCTATGCAGCAGGGTCGCTATGAGTTGGAAACAACTTGGCAGCACTTAACAACAATATAGGCTTTGAGGAAATTACTAACTCCAATCGGTAGGTAGGAGAAAACAGAAAGAGATGAGAAAGATGATTGTCTAATTTCTGTCTAAAATGAGCTCATCAGATACTAAAATATTCTCCTTCCTGGAACATAAGAAAGGCATGCAATGAGAACATGATTTATAGCAAGTGGTAGCTAGTATGCAATCTAAACAATAGTTTATTTTGAGAACAAATGAACAAATTCTATGGAGGAGGTAGGAAATAGTTGGAGGGTATGTCTCTATAAAGAAAATTTCAATTTATTTACCACAGGTTAAAGATTTAAAAATATGTATACTGACAAAATACCTCTGAAGGAGACACAGCCATTTGTCTTTTTGCTCTGGAGAACTGCAATCAAAGAAAATAGAAGAAAAAAAAAATTTTTTTTTTAATGAAACCACACAAATTATCGATGCTAACACATTTAACATGGTCCATCCAGATGATAATACCAACAGCCTGTTGTTACTGATGCGGTTCACATGGAAACATAGCCAGGGTTTGGAGAAGCCGGCAGTGAATATCCCCCTTAATAAAAACTGTGCAGTCAGACTTTTATCAAATCCTCTTGGATGGATTCAAGACAGACACCCTTTCTTGCTTGATTGCTCTTTTAAGAGTGGTATTACAGTAATGGGGGGTTGCTCTTAAAATATCTGTACAACTGGTGTGGTGCTGTAGGACAACTGTAAGGTCGGCGGTTCAAACCCACCAGCCACTCCTTGGAAACCCTATACTAGGTTGATATGAGTCAGAACCGACTCGACGGCACTGAACAACAACAATGTGATCATGGGCAAGTCATTTAACCTTGCTCAGTCTCAGTTTTTACATCTGTAAAACTGGGTCAGTGTTTATAACTCAGAGTATTTTTATCAACTTAAAGGGCCATACAAATAGAAAGTATGCTTAATATCAAGATTTAAGCATACTTAGGACATTTGGCATATGGATGGATATTTCTTGGCCCAGAAACTAGTTTGCTTTGAGGAAAACATTTATTTCCTTATGCCGATAGAAGTGTAACTTGGTAAATTAGTTCAGAGGAAACTTAGTCTTAATTACTGTAGTATTCTCATTAAGATCAACTCACTTATAGCTAAATTACTAGTGATTAATAATTCTTCTCCTTAAGCCACTCCTGCATTTAACTGTTACAGTTAAAAATCATTTAAAGTTTATTCTGACATGGTCTTCTCACTCACTAGCTTTTAAAATTACATTTCAAATTTCCTCAGAGAAGTTGAGAACCCTAGTTATTTTCCTGAGCCAGAAAACTACATTTAGTAAATATTTTTGTTTCTAATTTTGTTGCTTAGTAATTTTCTTCTTAAGTCTCTTAGTTATCTAGTACTGCTATAACAGAAATACCATAAATGGTTGCTTTAACAAACAGAAATGTGTTTTCTCTGTTTTGGAAGCTACATGTCTGAATCCAGGGTTCCGGCTCTGTCTCTGGTGGCTCTGGAGGAAGGTCCTTGTCTGCTGAGCTTAGGCGCTTGGGCAGTCTTCATATACCTTCCCATGTCTCTGCTTGCCTAATCTGCTCTTTTATGTCTTATCAAGAGTTTAGCTCAAGACATACTCTACACGAATCCTGCCTCGTTGGTGCGTTGTTGGGTGCTGTCGACTCGGTTCCGACACACAGTGGCCCTATACAGGAGCAGAGAGCTCTTTTCTCCTGTGGAGTGGCTGGAGGTATGATGTGCCCACCTTGTGCTTATCCTACAGTGCCACCAGTGCATATTCTAAAATATGTTGTTGTTAAGTGCTGTCAAGTCAGCTCTGACCCATAACAACCCTGGTATAGGGTTTCTGAGGAGCAGCTAGTGAGCTTGAACTGCCAACTTTGCCACACCAGGAGTCATATTCTAAAATACAAAGGTATATATATTCTAAAATATCCTTAACCTCATTTTCAAAGTGTTTTGATTCATAAATATAACTCTAAATTCAGGATGTTAAAAAAGCTCCACTGATTATGTTCTTTAGTACCTGAGGTACCTTGGCTACTGGCTGGTTCCTTAGTTTAGTTCAAGTGAAATAAATTTATAAAAGGAGTATTATCTTCTGTAGGTGCAAAACTTGCACATATCAAGTTCTAGCCAACCCTACACAGGGTTGCTATGAGTCGGAACTGACTCGGTGGCATACAACCACCACACCACACCACACCACAGACAGTACTTCAGGTACTATCAAGTAGAAGCCTGAGTGCCATCAAGTCGATTCTGAATGATAGTGACTCGATAGAACAGAGTAGGGCTGCCCCATGTGGTTTCCAAGTCAATAAAACTTTATGGAAGCAGCTGATAGATATGTACTACTGACCTTCTGATTAGAAGCTGAGTGCTTAATCACTGTGCCATGAGGGTTCCTTTTATGAAGTATGTTGTTTGATGCCACTGAGTTGGTTTCAACTCATAGTAGCAACCCTGTATAGGGTTTCCAAAGAGCAGCTGGCGGATTTGAACTGTCGACTTTGCAGTTCAAACTGACCTTGCAGTCCAGTTTATTTATCCTACAGTGCCACATCAGGATAGTGTAAACTATAATATATATGCTTTGTATATTTTATAATATTTATAAAGTATTGTTGTGTGCTGTTGAGTCAGTTCTGACTCATAGCAACCCTGTGTAGGGTTTCTGAGGAGCAGAAAGCCTCATCTTTTTCCCCTGAGCAGCCACGGGGATTTGAACCAATGACCTTGTGGTTAACTGACCACTGTGAAACCCACTGTCATATATAGTAAGCCTGTCCTTCTAGAGAATGAAGGAGCTATAAAGAAACACTTCATCAGAGTTCTGGTAAATGCCCTGATTTTAGATTAGGGCCTGAGGCTCAAGCTCAGTAAGTAACTTGCCCACATTATATGCCAATCACTGAACCAGGACTGACTTCTGTTCTGGACTTATGACTACAGCAGCGTGCTCTCATTTAATGTCTTAATTATATTATTTACTTACTAGACTTTAATTTTGAGTCCTGGTGTGGCGCTCTGGTTGATAAAGCCCTAGACTGCAACTTGAACCTCAATTTGAACCTCAAGGTCAGTAGTTTTGAACCCACCTTCTCGGAAACCCAATACAGGGTCGCTATGAGTCTGGACCAACTTGACAGCACTTAACAACACCATCATACTTTAATTTTAAAAATAATCGTATAATAAAATGATTTTTTTTTAACAACCAACAATTCTCTTAATTTTTCCCTGAAATGAGCATTACAGAGACAGAATGTACATAGTATATAACGTTAGAGACTTTCATAGCTTCACTAAGCTGAGAGCTTTTGAGAGGACAAAGTTCACTTTCCATATAGTTCAATTTGGCTACAAAAACCTGACATAAAAGTTATATAGCTTTCAAACCTCTTTAGAGCAGAGTAACTTCATACACTGGAAAAGGGGTTTCCTATAATCTCTACATTTTCTTCAGACAGCCACTTTTCCTATGCTAGCTGCTTTATTAGAATGAAAACAGGAAAATGGCTTTATTAATATAACAGAAAAGTTATTCCCAAATGAGATTATAACCACAGCCAAAGAAGTTAGGATTTGCAATACTTATTTTGGAGGGGACACAATGCAATCCACAACAATAAACAATCTCCCAGGACTGGCTATCAAAACATGAGTTAGATCCTGTTTATCTCCAACCATACAATTTTCATCTTTCACAATTCCTTTCTATATATATATATTTTTTTGTATTTTAATCATTTTATTCAAAGATACACATTTACTAACAAAGTTGTTTCATGTTTCCTTTCTATATATTTTTTAAACTGTATTCTTTTTCCCTAAACAAAAGAGTTTGTAAATTCATTTATCATCAAATATCAAATCTTGGAAAGTGTGGAAAAACTGACATCAACAACAACAACAAAAACTAGAAAAAATGGGCTTGTAAAAATTAAAAGAATTACTGCATCAATGACTTTATCAAGAGAGTACTGAGACAACCCACAGAATGGGAGAAAATATTTAGTAACCATTTATCTGATAAAGGTTTAATGTCCAGAATATAAACAGAACTCCTAAAGCAAAGTACCAAAATTTAACCTCATAAAGGTAAGTAACCCAATTAAGAAACTAGTAAAGGACTTGAATAGACATTTCTTCAAAGAAGATTCACAAATGGCCATGAAAAGATGCTCAACATCAATAGTCATTGTTGCTGTGTTCTGCTGAGTCAGTTCTGACTTGTAGCAACCCTATACAGGGTTTCCAAAAAGGGCTAGTGGATATGAACTGCCGACCTTGTGGTTAGCAGTCCAGCTCATAATCCACTATACTACCAGGGTTCCTTCAATAGTCTTTAAGGAAATGGCAAATAAAAATCACAATGAGATACCACTTATATGGCTGTATTATCAGAAAACATGATCACTAACTAGTGTTACTCAAGACGTAGGGAAACCTCATGTGTTGCTGGTGGGAATGTAAAAAGATGCAGTCATTATGGAAAAAGTTTGGTGGTTTCTCAAAAGGTAAACACAGAATTAACACAAGACACATAAATTCCACTCCTTAAGTATATACCCCCAAAGACGTAAAGCAGGGATTCAGCTACTTGTACATTTAAGGAGATCTGGTAGTGTAGTGGTTATGAATCGGGCTGCAAACCTCAAGGTTAGCAGTTCGAAACTACCAGCTGTTCCGCGGGAGAAAGATGAGGTTTTCTGCTCCCGTAAATAACAGATTTGATACATTAAACACTAAAGACCGAAGACCAAAAGAGTTGTGGGATGACATCAAGAACACCATACATGAAGAAAGCAAAAAGTCATCAAGAAGACAAGAAGGAAAAGGTAAAAATGGATGTCAGAAGAGACACTGAAACTAGCTGTCCAGC